AAACAGGTAAACAACTTTTCAAATAATAAGGATTTCTAAAGATTTACTTTTCATTATCTTTATCAATTTATCTCTGGCCAGGAAAAGCAATTATCAACATTTAAAATTCTCAGGCAAGCAATACAAGCATGCGCATATCATGTCGAGGTCGTACGGCCCGATCCAACAAAAATGTAAAATGTGCACTGCCGAGGGTCAAACGGCCCGAACCATAGATGCATCTATTACTCCACTCGTGAATCATACTTGCGACGTGGTCAAATTTAAATCAACAATCACCCTGCTCGCGAATCATTCATGCGACGCAGGTACACATAGAAATACATGCTCAAACAACCAATTAAGAATTTATCGGGGAACACTTATCCAAATAAAAGCCAATTTTCTTTTAATGATTTAAGAAAAATGAAGTTTAATCCTTTGAGAAATTCATTTAACAATTCGATAGGATTTAAGCAATTCAACTGTCAATAAGATTACAATTATTCCAAGTATAGCATGCTTTTGGGTCCTAGACTACCCGGACATAAACATAATAGTAGCTACGCACGGACTCTTGTCACCTTGTGCATACGTAGCCCCCACAAAAAGAAGCACATAACCAATTACTTCACATATGGGGACAATTCCCTCTTACAAGGTTAGAAAGGAGACTCACCTCGCTCCGAAATTTCCATAATCGGCTTTCAAGCCCTTCCAACGACTCCAATTGATGCACAATGCCCCAAAACTATTCAAACAATGGGAAAACCAGTAAAAATTCACTCTAATACTTGTAACAATTCAAATTATATAAGTTCCCAACTCCGCTCGAAAAGTTGACCAAAATGCCCTCGGGCCCACGTGCACGGATTCCGAAATTTCTCGAAGATAAATTCTACCCATAGCTTTACTAACTCAAATATACAATTTGCTCTAATTTATATGCTCAAATTCAAGGTAAAGTCCAAAATTCCAAATTCTAGGTCTTCCCAAAAATTCCAAATTTATAATAATTTTTCATGTCTAAATCCATGTAAGATCACATATTTAACTCAAAAATAGGAAGAAATCACTTACCTAGTGTTGCTTGGTGAAAATCCCTCCTTGATCTCTCCAAAATCGTCCAAGCAAAATGAAAGAAATGAAAGAACACTCGTGTTTAAAACAATCTGCCCAGGCTTTATCGAGTTGTACCTTGCGTTGTGCAGGTTGTACATCCTATTAAAATTACCCCATGCTGTAACTTTCTGCTAAAACGCCCATAACTCCTTGTGGAAATATCCAAATGACAAACTATTTGAATATTTAGAAACTAGACTCGAAGATCTTTCATTTGATAGGTTTCACACCATATAACTCCTTATATATTCCGAGATATGAGCTTCTAAAGTCGGCTCCATGCATCAGAAATTCTACCGAAACTGCTCCACCAACCATTTGCGATCGATCATAACATTCTGATCAATTGTCCAAATCATAAATGGTTTAACTTTATGAAAACTAGAATACAAGGGCTACAACTTTTATGTTTTGCAAATTTTCTGATTCCTTATAGATTGCAAGATATGAGCTTCCAAAATTGACTCCTCGCATCAGAATATTTCTGGCGAACAGCTGATGCAACAAATTTCAGCAGTTTTTCTTTGCCGAAATCCATTCCGTTAACCTTCCAAAAAGCCCGAGGCCTTCGGGAGCTTAACCAATTATACCAACATGTCCCAAAATATGATACGAACTCGTTTGAGGCCTCAAATCACATCAAACAACGTCGAAATCATGAATCGCACTCCAATTCAAGCTTAATGAACTTTGAAATTTCAGACTTCTACATTCGATGCCGAAATCCGTCAAATCACGTCCAATTGACCTCAAATTTTGCACACAAGTCATATTCGACATTACGGACATGCTCTAACTTTTCGAATTGGAATCCGACACTGATATCAAAAAGTCAAACTCTCGGTCAAACTTCTCAAAAACCTTCAAATTTCTATCTTTAGCCAAATGACTTCAAAATGACCTACGGACCTCCGAATTCATTTCAATTCCGATCACTCTCCCAATACCAGAATCACTATACGGAGCAATTCCCAGACTCTGAATCCCAAACGGGCATTGATAACCCTAAAATGTACTTCAACCCAAACTTATGAAATTCCTCCAAAATGCTAACTTCCACAATAGGCGCCAAAACGTTCCTGGGTCTTCCAAAACTCGATCCGGACATATGCCTAAGTCCGAAATCATCATACGAACCTGTTGGAATCTTCGAATCCTGATTTCGACGTCGTTTACTAAAAAATCCAATCTTAGCTAATTCTTTCAACTTAAAGCTTCCGAAATGAGAATTCTCTTTCCAAATCAACTCTGAACTCCCCAAAATTCGATTTCGACCATGCGTACAAGTCGTAATACCTGAAATGAAGCTGCTCATGGCCTCAAACTGCTGAATAGCGTGCTAGAGCTTGAAACGACCGGTCGGGCCGTTACATTCTCTTTCACTTAAACATACGTTCGTCCTCAAACGTGCTAAGAAATGTGTTGGGGTTGTCCGAAATTACTTTTTAACACCTCAAGCACTTACCCGTGCTACCACAACTCAGCTGGGCACCTTAGCTTGGTCAATCTGAAGATATCCTTTTTCACTTAAGGAAATAAGCCTTAGAGCCCAATTCATACATCCGAAATTCTCTGCCAGGCCTGATCCCAATATAAAAACACCGTATCAATCACTACATGATGTACCAGAACATGACTGCATACCTTTGCCGAATTCTCACCATGCATCACATCATCCATACCATAATAACATTCTCTGATCATAATAACCAATATTCCCCGAATCTGATGCTCACAATGCACCTCATGATATATATAAGTCTTGTTCCAACTCTCGCAATACCGCCACGACAGAAAAGATGTGTAGAAATTTATGACCGACTACCAAGTCAACAAATCATTGAGTCTATACTTCTGACAAGAACCATTACCTCATTCTGAACCAAATAAAGATTTCGTGCTCTTTAATATACTTTATATAATCCGACTGCACTGATGCTAGATCCAATAATCTCGTCTTACCCATTACGAACTGCTCAGGCAATAAGCCACCCCGGACATGATCAAAAGTCTCATATGATGCCACAATGTGCCAATAGGCTATGAACTCAAATGTGACAAAAGGAAAATGAACTCTGGAAGGAACTACTCAACTCACGCACTAATATGGACTTTCCTTAGAAAATAGGAAACAAGGCATACAAAAAGAGCATATAGAAAACTGTACTCAATATCTGTGATGACCCAAAATGTCACCTTTAAATTAAATAACTATCTCGGCATTTTAAGACCTTGAAAAGTTGTATCAATAATTCCTCGACTTGCGTGCATAGTCCATATAATTCTCCGGAAGGTTTTTATGTGAAAAATGGATTAAATTGTGAATTAAAGCTTTAAAACTCAACTGAGTTGACTTCGGTCAACATTTTGAGCAAACAAACCCGGATCTAAGTTTTGACCATTTTGGTAGTTACGTATCGTGATTTGGGACTTGGCCATATGCCCAAAATCGAATTCGGAGGTCCCTAGCTCAAATTATCGCCATTTAACGGAATCTAGAAATCTAAGGCTAAAGATTTCTTAAGTTTGACCGGAGATCTGACTTTTGAGAAAACGACCCCAGAATGAAATTTTGATGATTCCAATAGTTTCATATGGTGTTTTGGACTAGGAGCATGTTCGGATTTGGATTTGGAAGTCCATAGGACAATTTGATGCATTTTGGCGAAAGTTAGAAATTTGAAGGTTTTTGAGAAGTTTGACCGAGAGTTGACTTTTTGATATTGGGGTTGGATTTTGATTCAGGAAGTTGGAGTAGGTCAGTAATAGCGAATGTGACTTGTGCACAAAATTTGAAGTCATTCCGGAATGATTTTGGTAAGGGTTGAGACACTTAGTATCTTTTAAGGAAGCTTAAGTTGGAAAAGTTAACCGGATATTTACTTAAGTGTTAGAGGGCTCGAATGTGAGTTACAATGGTGCGGTTAGCTTATGGAGGTTATTTGTGACTTAGGAGCGTGATCGAAATGGGTTTTGGAGTTGTAGAGAAGAATTAGGCTTGAATTGACGAAGTTGATATTTTGGTGATTTCCGGTTGATAGGCAAGATTTTGAAATAGAGGTTAGAATGGAATTCCGAGAGTTGCAGTAGCTTTGTTGTGTCATTTGAAACGTGTGTGCAAAATTTCATGTCATTCGGACGTGGTTTGGTTGGGTTTTTGATCAAAAGAGTAATTTAGAAGATTTTGAAATTCTTAGGCTTGAATCCGATTCGAATTTGGTGTTGTGATATTGTTTTCAGCGTTTTGAAGGTTGGAACAAATTTGAATGATGTCATGGGATGTGTTAGCATATTTTCTTGAGGTGCCAGTAGCCTCGGGTGAGATTCGGGTTGTTAAACGAACTATTTCATCTTTGGAAAAGTTGCAGATTTTTTTTGAGCTTCAGCTGTGCACCAGAAATTTTTTGGTGCGAGGAGTCCAGTATGGAAGCTCATATCTTGAAATATATAAGGAATCAGAAAAATTTCAAAACACAAAAGTTGTAGCCCTTGCATTCTAGTATCCAAAAGATTAAACCATTCAGGATTTGGATATTCTATCAGAAAGTTATGAAGGATCGAATATGGCTGGTGGATCAGTTTTGACAGATTATTCTGATGCACTTTAGAAGCTCATATCTCGGAATATTTAAAGAGTTATATAGTGTACAACCTATCAAATGAAAGATCTTCGAGTCTAGTTTTTAACTATTCAAACTGTTTGTCATTTGGATATTTCCACAAGGAGTTATAGGCATTTTAACAGAAGGTGTACATCAGGGAAAACGGTAAGAGGATGTACAACCTGCACAGCGCAACGTGCACCTCGATGAAGTCTGGGCAGAATGTTTTTAAGTCCTCTTGTCCGCGATTTGGGTCTATTTTTCAGCCATAGTTGATCATTTTGAGAGCTTTTTGAAGGAGATTGAAGAGAGATTCAAGGAGAAACGTTTGGAGGTAAGAATTTCGGACCTAAATTTCATTTATATTGTGAAATTCACCTAGAAAATCANTTTTTGAAGGAGATTGAAGAGGGATTCAAGGAGAAACGTTTGGAGGTAAGAATTTCGGACCTAAAACTCATTTATATTGTGAAATCCACCTAGAAAATCATTGAATTCTTGCTAAAAATGGAAGAAATAGGGCTTGGGATTTTGAGATTCTAATTGGGGATTTGGAGGACCATTTGGGGTCGGATTTGAGAACTTTTGGTATGTATGAACTCGTGGGGAGATAAGGAACCCGTTGATGTAAAAATTTCTAAATTTCGAGAAGTGGGCCCGGGGCTCGGGTTTTGCTAATTTCGGGATTTTTGATGTTTTTTGATTGTTTTTGCTTGGGCTTTGTTCCCTTAGCATATTGACGTATTCTTTCTAATTTTGAATAGATTCGACGCGCGTGGAGGCCAACTCGAGGGGCAATGGCGTCGCTAGCTAAAGAATTAGCCGGTTCGAGGTGAGTAATGATTGTAAATGATGCTTTGAGGGTTTGAAATCCCCGATTGCACATCGTAGTGCTATATTGATATGAGACACATGTTTGATGATGAGTGTGTGGTCGTATACTATTGGGGATTGTGACTTGGTCCATCCCGCATTGATGATTTTACCGCGTATTTGACTGTGACTTATTTGTTTTCATTATGCTTTGGGCTAATTTCTATATTTGGGCTTCATGCCAACTATTTGAATCCTTCAGGGATTTTTACTACCATTTCCTCATTGTTTGACTTATTACTTGAACTCAGTCCTGTTATTTTTCCACTGTTTTACTACTCAGCCATCTTACTCAGTTTTGAGATTTAAATGATATTCTAAATGATGTTTTGGGCTGAGAAATATTGTTTTACTATTGCCCGAGGGGATTGTGATGATTTTGGACTGATTAAAGGTCGAAGGCCTAGTTGTGAGGATACACTAGTACTGATATGAGGCCGAGGGCCTGAGATACTTATATATGCCACGAGGTGGCTTGATTGATATGAGGCCGATGTCCTAGATTTGATGCCATGAGATGGCTTGATATTGCACTTGGGCCGTAGGGGCCCCCTCCCGGAGTCTGTACACCCCTAGTGAGCGCGAGTACCCATTGTGTTCTGATATTGAGCCTGAGGGGCTGTTACTGTTATGATATTGAGCCCGAGGGGCTGGTACTGTTCTGAGATATTGTCCGAAGGGCGGCTTTGTTGATACCTATGCCCGAAGGGCAAATTTCCATTTGTAACTCACTTGTATTTACTTGTTTTACTTGTTGGAAAGAGGGATTTTTTCTTGACTTTTCATTGTATTACTATTTAAAGTGATTTTACTGCTTCAGTATGGAATGCTTTGTGTTTTTACGTGATTTCTTATCTTCAGTCATTATTTATATTTATTACTCACTAGGTCAGAGTACTCACATTACTCCCTGCACCATGTATCCAGATTCAGGCGTTGCTGGTTCCGCTCATGAGTGCTGATTCCTCCAGATTCAGGCGGCTTTTAGGGATTACGAGGTAGCTGTTGACGTTCGCAACCCCGTGTCTCTATTATCTCATCTTTTATATTCCTTACGGACATGGTACTAGTTATTGGATTCAGCAGACTTGTATTATGACTCATAGATGCTCATGACTTGTGACACCCCGGTTAGGGCTGTGTCGGGCTGGATTTCTGCATTTTTATCTATATTTTCCGCTATTTAGTATTATTAAACCATGTTTAGACTATATTTTTGTTAATTAACTACTTTAAAAGTTGATTTGGGTTAGACTGGTTGGCCTTGTCTTCACGAGAGGCGCCATCACGATCGGGTTCGGGGTTCGGGTCGTGACAAGTTGGTATCAGAGCCTAGGTTACATAGGTATCACGAGTCATGAGCAAGTTTAGTAGAGTCTTGCGGATTGGTACAGAGATGTCTATACTTATCTTCGAGAGGCTGTAGAACCTTTAGGAAAAAATTTCACATTCTTGAATCCTTATCGTGCGTCCTTGATTCAGCTTGAGATGTAACTTTTTGAATTCCTTCCATGCATTCGTATGCACACATGAGCGCTCGGTATCTGCTGTGCATTGACAGCTTGTGATTCCCTGGATGAGGTCCTAGATGTGATTTCTATGTGTGATGTTGGGCCAGTCTGAAGGACTTGACGCCAGGGTTTGTCTGTGGCTTGAGTACTGAGATTTCGATTGTGTGAGCACGTGCATTTGGGACTTATATGTTCGTTTGTGTCCTTATTGGTGGGATTTGTGACTGGATGACTAGGGGGTGAGAATGATTTGATTACGAGATGTGTTCAAATTGTTCGAATGTGACGGGAATTTGTTGAGGATGTAGCAAGGATTATTGGATGTTTGACTTCTGTCTTGAGTTGGCATATGGCCTCGAGCTATGGGTGTATTGAAGGACCTATCGTGTAGTTTAGTTGTGGGGCAGAGTAAATCTTCATGTTGTGTTATGAGTTCAAACTTAGAGGGGGGGGTTAAGTGATTGTGTAATAGTTATGATTATGAAAGATTATAGAGATATACCAGTTTGAGGCTAAGCAATTGGATTATCTTTTGCGGGATGTTCTGAAGTTTGTGCGATCCTTTTGTTGTTGGTTGGCAGTCCTCTTTTACCAGTGAAATATACGTGTTGCAATTTGAGTTTGGATTTCTTATGAGAATGGGCTTGACTGTTACGAGGGTGAATGCGAAATTTGCAAATGGTTTAAGGAATTAGATGGATTGTGTTGCATTAGCTTATGAAGGATTTAGCTTAATCTCATCCAGGTGGGGCAGCTCAACCATTTATTGTGGCACGGGCCAATGACAAGCCTGCCTTGTCTTTTGAGGCTTTGCTGAGTTTGGACAAGTTTACCAAGCTATTTCCAGTCCATTTCAGTGGTACAACTTCTGAGGATCCACAGGATTTTCTGAACCGCTACTCTGAAGTATCGTAGAACATGGGAGTGGTTGGAAGCAATGGGGGTTGATTTTACTGTGTTTCAGATGACGGGTTCCGCCAAGAGGCGGTGGAAAGATTATGTATTTACTAGACCCGTTATGGTTCTTTCTGAAGATGCGGATGCATTGAGAAGATCACCCAGTGAATCATGTAGGGGTGCAACGGACCTTGGCGTCTGGTTGATTTATATGAGTTTAAAAAAACAACTTTACATTAACAGAAGGTTTACTCAGTGTGGAAGTCAAGGTTGCAGATTTTGGGGTGCTTCAGACGAAGTACAGTGGTTGACGATCTTTTGGACTATGTAGTTCGTGCCAAGATTTATCTTGATGGAGTTATACTTTTGTGATTATTGTGCATAATTAGGGGAAAGAGTTACCCCAAAGAAGAATCGAAGAGTATATGAATAAATAGGTTAGCTCAGCAATGTTGAGTCAACATAGCAAAAAAAGAAATTAGTCGCCGGTGTGTATGGCAAGCCTATGAAGAGGGCAGACTAGCCAATACAACACCACCTACTCGGCTCAGTTCTCAGAAATATTTTTAAAGGAGTTTGTCTCCTAGATTCTATATAACATGTGGTATATGTGGTCTGAATGGTTGACATTGTCAGAATATGTCATCAGGTTCAATAAGTTAGACATCATACTCCTACTTTAGTTCCTAAGCTAAAGAGCGAGTCCACATACTCATTAAAGGACTCAATTATGATATTGAAATTTTGTACAACTCGGGAAGCTACAGGTTGATGCTTCATCTCGGCTAGTGGTAGAAATTGCGAAAATGTTAGAATGTGTTCTGGATGAGAAAAAGAGGAAGCTAAGGAGACCAATAGGTCTCGAGGTTTTAAAGGATTCAATGGATTCTACTCTACAACTACAAATCATTACGACAGGGGCTCGGGTAGCCGGCCAGCCCAGTCAATATATCTGATTACTCGGGGTGCTCCAATAAGTTCTTTTTATGCGCTGCCGACACGAGCTTAGTATAATGGTTATTCTAGTTATCTAGCATAGACTCAGCATGAGAAACTAAACCCTCAAAGGGATTGTTATGAATATGGTAGTACTAGGCATATCATGGGAATATTTTCCTAGACTTCNCTTCTCATTTGAGGACGAATGACCCTAAGTGGGGGAGAATGTAATACCCCATATCTGATGGGTGTGTAGGCATGAGTTGCTATAGCCAGTCGAGACTAATATCATGTGTTGACGTGAAAATTGGACCTTTCTGGAAATGATTGGGGTGTAAGAAATTTGGTCATCAAGTTTACAAATATAAATAAAGGAAATAATCTCAATTGAAATGGTATTATCAGACTTATGTGGAATGCGGTAATGTGGGATCAACCGAGAATATTTGTGTAAAAGAAAAATCGTCAATTTGGCAACCTGAGAATAATTCTTAATATGTTCGAGAATGAACGTTTGTTTTAGAGGTGGAGAGTGTGATGACCCAAAATGTCACCTTTCATTAAATAACTATCTCGGTATTTTAAGACCTTGAAAAGAGGTATCAATAATTCCTCGACTTACGTGCACAATCCATATAATTTTCCAGAAGGTTTTTATGTAAAAAATAGATTAAATTGTGAATTAGAGCTTTAAAACTCAACTGAGTTGACTTCGGTCAACATTTTGAGCAAACGAATCCGGATCCAAGTTTTGACCATTTCGGTAGTTCCATATTGTGATTTGGGACTTGGTCATATGCCCGAAATCGAATTCGGAGGTCCCTAGCTCAAATTATCGCCATTTAATGGAATCTAGAAATCTAAGGCTAAAGATTTCTTAAGTTTAACCGGAGATTTGACTTTTGAGCAAACGACCCCGGAATGAAATTTTGATGATTCCAATAGTTTCGTATGGTGTTTTGGACCGGGAGCATGTTTGGATTTGGATTTGGAAGTCCGTAGGACAATTTGACGCATTTTGGCGAAAGTTAGAAATTTGAAGGTTTTTGAGAAGTTTGACCGAGAGTTGACTTTTTGATATCGGGGTTGGATTCTGATTCAGGATGTTGGAGTAGGTCCGTAATATTGAATGTGACTTGTGCGCAATATTTGAAGTCATTCCGGAATGATTTTGGTAAGGGTTGAGACACTTAGTCTCTTTTAAGGAAGCTTAAGTTGGAAAAGTCAATCGGATATTGACTTATGTGCTAGAGGGATCGTATGTGAGTTACGATGGTTCGGTTAGCTTCGGGAGGTGATTTGTGACTTAGGAGCGCGATCGGAATGGGTTTTGGAGTTGTAGAGAAGAATTGGGCTTGAATTGGCGAAGTTGATATTTTGGTGATTTCCGGTTGATAGGCGAGATTTTGATATAGGAGTCGGAATAGAATTCCGAGAGTTGCAGTAGCTTCGTTGTGTTATTTGGGACGTGTGTGCAAAATTTCATGTCATTAGGACGTGGTTTGGTTGGGTTTTTGATCAAAAGAGTAATTTAGAAGATTTTGAAATTCTTAGGCTTGATTCTGATTCGAATTTGGTGCTGTGGTATTGTTTTGAGTGTTCCGAAGGTTTAACAAGTTTGAATAATGTTATGGGATATGTTGGTATATTTGGTTGAGGTCCCAGTAGCCTCGGGTGAGATTCGGGTGGTTAAACGGACTATTTCATCTTTGAAAAAATTGCAGATTTTTTTTGAGCTTCAAATGTGCACCAAAACATTTCTGGTGCGAGGAGTCTAGTATGGAAGCTCATATCTTGAAATCTATAAGGAATCAGAAAAATTAAAAAACACAAAAGTTGTAGCCCTTGCATTCTAGTTTCCAAAAAGTTAAACCATTAAAGATTTGCATATTCTATCAGAAAGTTATGATGGATTGAATATGGCTGGTGGATCTGTTTTGATAGAATTTTCTGATGCACTTTAGAAGCTCATATCTCGGAATATATAAAGAGTTATATGGTGTACAGCCTATCAAATGAAAGATCTTCGAGTCTAGTTTTTAAATATTCAAACTTTTTGTCATTTCTATATTTCCACAAGGAGTTATAGGTGTTTTAACAAAAGGTGTACAGCATGGAAAATGGTAAGAGGATGTACAACCTGCACAACGCAAGGTGCACCTCGATGAAGCCTGGGCAGAATGTTTTTGAGTCCTCTTGTCCGTGATTTGGGTCCATTTTTCAGCCATAGTTGATCATTTTGAGAGATTTTTGAAGGATATTGAAGAGGGATTCACGGAGAAACGTTTGGAGGTAAGAATTTCGGACCTAAAACTCATTTATATTGTGAAATCCCACCAAGAAAATCATTGAATTCTTGTTAAAAATGGAAGAAATAGGGCTTGGGATTTTGACATTGTAATTGAGGATTCGAAGGACCATTTGGGGTCGAATTTGAGAACTTTTGGTATGTATGAACTCATGGGGAGATAAGGAACCCGTTGATATAAAAATTTCTGAATTTCGAGAAGTGGGCTCGGGGCTCGGCTTTTGCTAATTTCGGGATTTTTGATGTTTTTCGATTGTTTTTGCTTGGGCTTTATTTCCTTAGCATATTGTGCCGTATTCGTTCTGATTTTAGATAGATTCGACGCGCGTAGAGGCCAATTCGAGGGGCAAAGGCGTCGCAAGCTAAAGAATTAGTCGGTTTGAAGTGAGTAATGATTGTAAATGATGCTCTGAGGGTTTGAAACCCCGAATTGCACATCATAGTGCTATGTTGATGTGAGACACACGTTTGATGACAAGCGTGTGGTCGT